TGCGAAGGAGAACAGACAGAGAAGGGTAGAGGTGCCCAGGGAGAATGAAAACAGCCATGCTTATCCTGTTTGTCTTGCTGAACACCATGGCTGCATACTGACATGCTGGATCAATGTGCAACTACGCTTCGCTGCAAATGTCTTACTGGGAAAAGAAAGAGCTGAGGTTAGTGGGGACGAGGGCTAGTTCTTTCTCACAAGGAAAATCAGAAATCAGATTCTTGTTTACGTGGAGCACAAGACCGTGCAGGATGGGCTATGACTTTCTCCAGTAGGAAATAAAATCCTCTTAAGAATATCAACACCTGCCATCTGTAATTAAAGTTTTACTATTCCTTTCATGCCATAGCAAGACAAGTAGTTGGAGGGCCAACAAACCACTCCTAATTTCCTTTAAGTGCTTCTTAGCAGTATCTCTGTTCTGCCTCTCACCCATCCCATGTACAAGCAGGTGATTTTCAGCCTCTGGCAAAACCGCTCCTCCAGATGTAGGAGAAGCAGACAAACATAAATGGCTGAGGCACGTTGAGAACAAAAGCAACTCTAACATGAAATGAATATTCCGCTCACCCACACGTGGTGAAACCATCCCAGGCCTTAGGGACACACGAAATAGCACAGAGAAGAGGAAGGACTTAGAAAAGGTTGTAGGAACCGAGTACATTGAATCCCATCCTCCAGGGGCGCTGAGCTCTGCCGTCCCTAAGGCTAACGAAGGCATGTGTCTACAACGGCCTCCAGAGAAGCAGGGAGAGCAAGCCCTGCCACGACTGGGACCCTGCATGTGCCCACGACCCTGCGTTTCACTGAGGTACAATATTCAGAAAAATTGGAGCCATGTCCCTGTGTAGGGGCAGTTCTCATGGCCCTGTTGTCTGGCCCCACTGCTGCTGCCCCATGTTTTTTCCCACTTCCCCTCTTAGCAACCCTCCTCCAGTCACCGGTGCTCTTAGTCCTGCCATGCCAAGATGCTTTTCCTCTGCTATCAAGCAACAAACCAGGGAACTTGCAGCACAGCCTACTTGGATTGTTAAAGCTACAAGAACTCTTTAAAGAAGGTGAGGACTAGGCAGATTTCAGCTGGAGCAAGGAGAAGCAGGAAGCTGCTCTGCAGGACCACACAGGACGCAAAGAGCCTGCCACATCCTGCAGAACTCACTGTTGCTGCCAGGACACCCGATCCAGTGACCTACCAAAGTGCAGCCTTGTTTACCTCGCTCTACTAACCTGCCCTATGTTGAAAGTCAACGTGATGGCATAATAAAAATTGGAGTTGGCACTTCCTGCATAAATCCATAGATGCCACAGAACGGGGAACAGGAGGGAGCAGACAATGAGCACACATGACAGGATGAAGATGTTCCGGAGGACTGCAAAAGAAAATCAAGGTGTTAAACTGAGGCATCATTGAGCAGCCATGCTCACGCGACCAGCAATGGTATTTAGGGTATGTGCAGTGGGGAGGAGGCACTTGCCAACACATACTTCTCTCCGATAGTATTTCACGGTTTGCTTTAATAGTTTCCTGGCTAGCTTTTATAAGAAATCCACAGTATTTCCCTTTAAAATAAATACTTCTGCCTTTGCTCGAGTGTGAAATCCTCACTTGTAGCTCTTGCCTTCTAGGTCCTGCTTCCAAACACTCTTCCTCAGAGGACTTTGGCTTTTTGGTGTCTACACTACAGTAACTACCAGTTTTGAGACGGGCCTTTCCACCAGCAGAGACTCTGAGAGCAGAGCATGCCATTCCCTACCCTCGGCAAGCTGAGGACAAAGGGAAAAAATGAACCTGTGGGCCATAGGAAAAGAGATACTTTCTCAGGAGGGGGCAAGGAAACGAAAGCACCTTAAAAGGAGGAAACCATATAGGCCAGATGTGCTGACAAACACATGACCTCAGGAGGTGCAAATGTGGCCAAAATACATTAGTCTGCATGAGTATGTGTCAGATGGACAAAAACCAAGCACACTTCTGTCTAAAAGAGCTAGGAACTACTAGGCCAGAAGTGATTTGGTTTCCTATGAAGTATTTACGCCTGTTCTTTGGCAGCACTGCTATAATTCATGCTGGCACTGGTGTGCCGTGCTTGGCTATAGCTCAGCCGCTGTCCCTGACGGTAGCTGAAAGACTTGGATCATTCTGCGGCCGAAGGGAGCTAGCTGACATTTCCAGAGCATTGTCACACCCAAACCTGTCCACCATTATCTTTTTAAACTTCTTGTTCAGTATCTCTATTCCCTCACTGCGGGGTGGGAGCATGTCACAGATGTCTGTCCCTCTCCCTGGTCCCAGTCCCCTTATCTGCACGCTTGGAAGGTGCGACTGAGCTGTGCTGAATCGGGATTTCTCGGAAGCACATCACCTGCCACGGCTGCGACACGCTCAGGGCTGGCCCGCGGCTTCCTGCCCTGTTTTACCGCAGCCGCTTTGCCCTGAGCTTTCCTTAGTCTGAAACTAATCGAGCAGGTGGTGTCCAAGTGTCTCGATGCCCGTTTATGTCTCCTGACAGCAGGCAGGCTGGCTGTCCATAAACACACCTGGCCTGGGTTAGAGAAGGCTGCAGTAAAAGGCGCAGACAACCTGGCAAGGTTGGGCACAGCAGTCGGTTTAAGCAAGAAACCCCAGGAAAAACACAGTGCTTCCAAATCGCCCCAGTGTAGCAGGTTCTAGAGACTGAGTCTGAAAATCATCAGGAAGCTCTCTGGTGACTTAAAGAGCTAAAGAGGTTCTTTACGAAGCATTTAAGAAAAACTGGACAATTGCTTGGAGTAATTCAGTTACTTTCACTCTAAGCAACCACGTAGATCCAAACCAAGGAACCACTGCCGGATGCAGGATTTTAAGGCTGGGAGACTCACTAATTGCACGAGCAGTGTTCAAATTGCACAGCCCTAAATGGAAGCATTTGAAGGACACATGTACTTTAAATAAGCCACATTTCTTGTGCAGGACAGTAAAAGGTTCTTATGAAAAAGTTAATCTTCAGAACAGCTTGGAGAGAGATGGAAGATAAGGTACAAGTGAAAATTCCCTCCTCGACTAATTTCAACCCTAGTGCTACAGATATGTTTCAGACTGTATCGCCAGAAAAATTAAGCCTCCTTCCAGAGACTCCAAAGAGGCCACACGAGCCTGTGGCCATGGGCCTGGTTTGGTCTGCTGGTTACAATTATTGGACAGGCCCTTTCCCACTCCAGACAAGGAACAATCAAACATAAAGAACTTACATCTGTAAAGGTGGCTCCAGACTGGAAGGAAGGCCATGTACAGTGCAACGTCTCCCACAGTGGGATAGGACTTGAAGATAGAAATGATTGCGATCTGGACAAACATGAAGAACACAGGGTGCTCCCTAGAAGGGATAAGACACAAAGGATAAGGGGATGCAGTAGGGTCTCTGGAAACTGGAAATAAACATCAGCAAGGGCACAAATGTACTGTGGGAACAGGCTCAAAGAGGCTCTCGTACCCCTGTTCTCTTGAAACAAGCCTCTGAGTGCTGGGTGGGGTAGGCTGAGCTGCTCTGCCGCATAAGGGGATGCGCATCTGCTCACTGCCCTCACGCAGAAACTGCGTGCCTCAACTCAACGGACATTTATACAGCTGGTCATCTAGGCAGCTCTTCCCCAGCTCTGTCTTATTCACCGAAAAGCAATCAGCACCTCCTCTCTGAAGGTTATCTGGAGAAGCCCATATTTATCCCTGTGGTATGTCACGATGTCTGTACACATTCCATGTCAACAGGATAAGCTCACCGAGAATCCAGGCACGTTAATGGTGTTTTTATCAGAAAGCAGGGTAATGTTGTTAGCGCAGTGCGCTAGGAATGTCCCCGTTTTTCTGACAATAAAGAACTTGAAGTTCCAACCAAGAGTTCTTGCTTTCTGACTACACTGGCTTATGCTGGCAGGGAGCAGGCACTTCTATAGTCTAAATTTCTGCTCTTTCTTTTGATGCCTGTAACACATGTGTTGCATAGCAGAGCTAAGCTCACTCGATTTAAAAGGAATAAAGATTGCAACTTCGGGAAAAGAGGAGGATAGGCCCTGTTAAAAAACCCTATCTTTTTCAGGCTTGTAGGTCCAGGCATCTGATGTCAGCCTTATAAGCATCCACTGGACAGCTGAGAATAAAAAACTAGCAGAGAAACGTACTTACTTTAGCTTTATCGCCAAGGGAATGGTGTAGAAGAACACATTGATTTGGAACACACACACGAAGAAAAGACTAAAATGTTCAAACATCTCTGCAAAGAAGTACCAGAAAAGGCCAATATTGGGTGTCAGATCTGGAACGGAAAGGCTGAAATTTGAAAAGAAAAGTCAAGGTAACATTTTTTAATGGTTGGTTTTCACTGCCCTGCTTCTGTTACATTAATCAATCATTGTGTGCTACTGGACGGAGGACGTGTATTTTAAATCTGTGGAAGAGAAATCAAAGGGGTGAAAATCTGGAAAGAAAAGAGACTAATCCTTCTCTACACCCCAGCAGGACTTAAACCATTCCTAAGCAGACATTTCTCCAGAGACAAAAATTTCACAGCCATGGTAACGATCAAAACCAATGATCAAATCAACTTCCAATCAACTCAGTGGAAAATATCTCCCGTCTTCTCTAATTCTTGCTGTTACTTAATTAACAGAAGTTGGCTAATGCCTGCTCTCCTCCATACACTCTT